TGTTTTCCGAGACCCCATGGCCGAGGCGTCCACTCCGTAAGAAAACCTTAAGTAAATTATTCCTTTCATAGAATTCAAGTGTTAGATGAGTTCAAACGCAGGCCTTTTGCAGTCTGCCTAGACAACCGGAAGGCAAGCTACGGTGAAAAGGTTGTCTACTTTGCCATCGATTTGCGACTTAATTGGCAAAATCCAACACCCGAAGATATGGCGCTGATCAATTCTATCAATTTCCGCATTGGAGAGGACAAAGATAAACCGGAAGTGCGTCAAAATATGGAAAAATTAGAACGGTTGTCTGTAAGTCAGACGAGAAACCTATATCTCCTTTAGTATGTAAACATAGGCTTACTTTTTCGGCACCTTCTTACGACTTTACTTGCCTCTTTCTAAGAAAAAAAATAGTCAGTACAATCTGCTTCCAATACAGTGCAATCCAGCCCACATTTCATACGATGGTAATCTCAGGTTCATAATAGATTAAGTTAAATCTTAATGTCGTCTCTCTGTCCGCATTTTCGTCGGTTTTGATTGGAAGCCGGGCATTCATTGATCGTTTGCGGGACTCAATCGTCCCGCTGTGTCTTGGAGCTCACTCTAGAGTCCTGCCAACAGATACATTGGGGCTAGTGATATAGACAGAATGACATTATCAACAAGGAAAAGGGAAATTGAAAGCCCCCAGGAAAAGGACGTTCGCTGCAGTGACAGCGGTGGAAGTCTTCATGGTCCTTTTTGACTTCGGTGTCGTCGTCGAATATCCACACCCCCACTTCAGTTGTGCACCTCAGATGGGCGTCTAGGTTATTTCACCGTTGGGTCTTAAGTTAGGCGCCTTTCTATATGAGGACCCTAACCTCGCAGCCACAGAATAAAAGCGGTATTAGTTGAATAACACTGTCCATGTGACCGTGTTAATACTGCGAACGAATCACGTCAGGTTTATTGTCAGGCCGCCCCTTGCAAATGCCGTGCATTGGGAAGTATTTTCCAGCCCCCAAAGACCGCCAAAGCCACCCTCCACTCAAAAGTTTAGCGCCATGTTGGCCTTAGATTCTTGTGCATGTACTCAATTTAGTTTAGAGCGAGATCATCATTTAAGTACCAGGGAACTAAATGTTTCCTGGGTGTCGTAAACAACCTATGCGTGACAAAGTTGTTTACTGCCGCAAAAATCACAGGCCTTTCACCATTTATCCAACGGTCACGCGTCGTTAACACGCCTACCTCGCCGTATCGCATCTCATTTTCCCCTGTCAGCCAAAAAAACTCCAAGGGTATCCGACTTTTGCCTCTTTCGGTTTTACTATTTTTTGGAGTTTAGGAAATTATGTCACAACAACTGTGGTTTTAATTACTTCATTACAAATACATGCAAGCACTGGCCTCGCCGACACTGTCTATCAGTCCATAAGGTAAAATTCGATTCGGCCACTCGAGGCCGTGTTAGTGGCAATGGTCAACTCATCCTCCGGCGCCTGGTACATTGCAACTGCTTGATTCGTGTTCTGACAATTGCAAATTCTTAAGACCGGAATCGCTCACCTTGTACGGTGCTAGCTTACTCTGGATTAGGTTGGTTATCGCAACAAAAGTTCACATCTCGCCAGACGGTGTGCATTTTATCTCTTATTTAGACGTAGTCAGTTTTTATATTTAGAAGCCGTTCAAATAGGCCACATGGTAAATAATTCGCCAGCCGAGTGAGTCGGGTTTCATCACATGAGCGTGAAGGTAATCTGAAGAGCAAACTTGATGGTGTTAGTCCTTAACTGACGTACTCTTTCTGTATAAATGAGAAACGCGTTTCCTACGCTCGGAATATATATACCGTCCGAATGTATTTGGTAGGTCTTGCTTTCTCCCTTTCCCCCATTCAGTCTCTCCTATCACATCTCCAAGGGCCAACTGCACAGGCACTCACAACAAAAGCTCGCTGAATAAGGCAGTTTTGTCCTGTGTTGCGCCGACCTGGACGTCCTGGCTATTGAACCTTACACGCGCTCTTCAAATCCTTACTCAACTGCCAACGTTTCGCGACTCCTATACAACGTCAGCATCTTTTTGCAAGCCAGCTTAGGGCTAAAGCAGAGAACTGGCGCTTAGAAAGCGCCGTGTCATGTACTAACTAATTGTCTATGTACAACTGAGTAAAGTGAAACAACTAAAGAAATAGTGATGCATTTATAAGTTTGCCAGCAACCGTCTTGCATTCTTCCTCTCATTTCCACCTAACTATGAAATGTGCCAACTTTATGCGCTTTCCATCAGTCCTATACTTTTGGGCACCATGGCGTATACTCTCCTGGATGACCACCCTTATAATAATAGCAATCATCATAAACTTAAGCGGTTAGCGCCTTGCATCTGTACTATGTTTTGCAGTGCGTATGTTCAGATGTCAAGCCTATTATTCATGATGTTGCGCATTTTCCAATTATAAGCGCTGTTATAATTCCCTTTTCACTTTTTGTGGTCTTTCATGGGTGCAGGGCATAACGCATTGGCCCTTACTCCTTCTCGACTCCTTGTCCGCACGAGTTCTTGGATTAGTTGCCGTTTCCACTTTCTTTGCTGTATGCTGGCTTAAATGATCCAGCTCCTTTTTGCAGGATCCCCTTTCCTGACCTATTTTGCCTCATACTATCTCAGTCTGATAATCTGTCCTGCATCTTTTCTGTAGATGATTGTGGACACAATTGCAACTCGCCTCCACCGTGCTCAACGACTTCAACAACGCTCGCGCAATAACGCTGCAGTGGACAGGGTCCTGATGGAGGCCAACGTAAAGCACGTCATGACCTGGTCCACCTTCCAGCTTTTTGTCATGATCTTTGTCGGCGTCGTGCAGACTTTGCTTATTCGCAGCCTCTTTGACGAAAAGAGCAGTCTGTATAGGCTCTGGGTACACGGTTGTGCAAGTGGACCTTCTCACGCCGGCTCGGCCTATTGATACTGGTTACGACAACCTTTCTTCTCGCTCCTCTCAAGGCCGCTGTCGAAAAAAATCATCGGCCTATGCGATGACGACTATCACTCCTCCTGTTACCGCCTCCCCCATTTTCCTATATGTGCGTGTGTCTGTAAGTGGTGGCGGAAGTTGTTTGCCGAGACCGCTCGTTTCTTGTACTTAAACACCCTGTCCCCTCTCCCTGCTTCCATATCGTCCTCCCATCACCCTTCCTTGACCTTTGCTTTGTGTGCTTATTTCAGCGTGTTTGTGTGTACTTTGGTTCAAGAAAATTTCGAGTTTTTTTTTACAAACGTCTATCTTCTGAATTTTTTTTCGCTTGATATGTATCTCGATTAGACCTATGCTTTGTTAGGTCTCTACTGTTATTCATTTTATTGCACACATAAGCTTGCCTGCGAAACAGATTTATGCGTTGAGATGTTTTGAAACTTGAGTTGATACTATAATTTATTTTTGTTTGTGTACCAGTAAAAAATCCCAATTGGTTACTTTAGAAACAATAGTCAACTGTCTAAGGCGGGCCATTGCTTCTTGAAATTCACCGTCTGGAAACGGGAGATAGTTGTGTTTGAACAAGCATTGGAGCGCTACCTGTGTGTTGTACATTATCCAATAATTGCAGCAGCCTTATACAAAATTTCCAGGCGATTGAATACTCCACGACTGTAGAGCTGTTCGAATATCCCTGCATAACAGATGGAGGCGAGACAAACGACTGCTCAGCAGATCGAAACGTTTCGAAACCTTGATATTGCGAGTCTTGTCTCAAAAATCTGAATTATTTTTTTGGATAGCTGAATGATCCATATTTTTCAGACGCTAATTTTTGGGCGAACACGTTATTAAGGGATCACGATAAGCAAATGACACTTGGCGCATATTTTCCCGTCAGAAAATATGAGCAAGTGAGATGGGTTCACTCGCTAGGTTTATACACGAACTTGGAAGATTATGCTTGCAAGAGCCTTACGATTTGACTTGGAGCTACTTCTCGTGCTATTTGACAGCGCCAGCCCATCTAAGGGCTTTTTCAGTAGACCCTTTGTTGGCTTGGGGATGAAGGTGTCGGCAACATACCGAGCTGACGGTTTTAACGTACGGGATCGCTCACCGACATTTTGGGCTGTTGCACTTCAGTCCTTCGCCCTTATTGAGCGGGTAGCCGTTCACCCTGAATACCCGTCGAAGTTACTGCTATTCGGCAGCCTTGTCTTCTAGCTTGCTACAGTGGTCGCAACGCGCCGCTTAACGCCCGTGCGCAACTACGTTTGTAACCACTTGGTTTGTTGCTGTTGAAGTTCGGCACTTGCGTCATATTTTTCACTTGCCTGAATACTTACGTTTTGGCCGTCAAGACGCTTTTGAGATCTTCTCCGAATGCCAGCATCTGGTCTCTTTCGATTATGACGAGGTTATCAACCACATACCAGGTCAATAATGTCGGTCTATGGTGTCGGAAGACCAATGATTATAGCCTCTACAGGACCGCCTGAGCTACCAGTGCCGACATTGACTAATCCATTGGCGTGCATTTCGCCTGCGTGTAGATTCTTTCGTCTAACGTTATTTAGGTTTTGAAGAATCGGCAAATAAATGCAATGTTCCAGCAACCACATCCTCTGCCGAACTGCTTTCTGGAAATCACCTGTTCGCTCCTATCAACAGTTGATTATAATGTTGGTATGGAAAACGGCAGAAGATATGGCCAAGTTAGGCAGGGACTCTCTTATCGGATAAGCACACGGACTTGGAAAATTCCACTCGTAATGCCCTTATGTTCCGTCGTATGATTTGATTTGGAGCTAGTTCCTGTGCTGGTTGGCAGCGTCAGCTGACCTAAGTGGTATCTTCCTTGTTGGCTTTGCGGCGAATTGCACGTGAGCAAGCACCTATCCGTGGCTCATAAAGAAAACTGTATGTCCACATTTTTGAGAATTCTTGACAGCTAGGAATTAATAACACCCAGATGTCTGTTTAGCTCGCATTGTCAAGTTGTGATATGGAGCATTGTAATCAGCTGCAAATGCAGTTTTGGTCTATGGAGCCCCATAGCTCGTACCAATGAACGAGTGATGGTTTGACGCCAATTAGTCCAAAATAAAGCTTATTGGAGTTCCACTGGGCAAATTTGGAACGTTGTACAAGTGTTTGGTCCATTTGATGTTTTCGAGGTTGTAGCAGCCACGCTGGCGGCCGTATTCCAAACCAGAAAACCACAGGATCGGATCCCCCTGGGCAGTAGAAAAAAGGAGGCGTAAATGGTAAATTACTTTATATAGAGCCATTGCACAAGCTGGCAATGCGTCCAAGTTGGCGCGAGACTGTGAAGTGATTGGCTAGCAAACTGTTGCACATGACGCGATTGTCAGCCAGGTACCCAACCGATTCTCTT